CACCCCCTTGATAAAAGCTCCTGCGGTTGCAATGATAAAAGCTCTGGCGGTTGGAAGTCGCTCTCGACTGACCCACATCAGAAAATAAAAACGAGCATCTCTTGTCAAGATGTCAAAAAGGTTACCTTCAAAAGCCGTTATGAAATATCAAACGGAGTCCAGATACTTGCTTTCATTCCTCTTTTTTCGTGATTACTGTCTCCCACGCGAGCTTCATTTGCAATTATTGAGGCCGTTATACACAAGCAATTTAACACCGCTCAGTCGAGCTGAAATAGACGTGTGTTGGTCTTGATCTTGGAGGTGGACCCAATTCAAGGTTACATGGACCGCTAGCAACTGAACCTGAGCCCAGACAACAAAACTCGATCAGGAAATCGAGATGGGGACTAATGGAGTCCGTTGAATGGCCATCAGAACTTTCTTAAAAACGAAACTTAACCAACGAAATTAAAGAAGGATTTGAGAGTAAGAGCGTCTTCGAAAAGTCAAGCACGAGGAATAAAAACAAGTACGGCCAATACGGGCGAAGGAGAATTCAATAATCTCCTTGTTCCTTGTTCACAATCTTTACAACAAGCAGATCACTTAAGGCAGTAAATCGCTGTGTTTAGAAACTTGAGCGAGTTTTTGAAGGTAGTGAGAAGGCGCGTTCTGGCCAATCAGGGGCATCATTAGGTGTGACATCACGGACCGGCTTGCATGGTGGCGCCCCTCCTCGCTGAGTTTATGATTTTTCTTGTTGGGTGCTATTTGCATATCGGTTTTCGCCTTGTGTGTAAATATAACGTATCACATGGCATATTCCGCCACGTCAATGTTTTTAAATTGTCCCAGGGATGCATGACAGGAGGGAAAGGAAAGTCGGAGGGCCGTGCGTGCACCACTCGGACGGGGTGGGGTGGGGGTATGGCGCCCTTCCATTGTCCCAGGGATGCATGGCGGGAGGGAAAGGAAAGTCGGAGGGCCGTGCGTGCACCACTCGGACGGGGTGAGGTAGGGGTATGGCGCCCTTCCATGCCGCTTTTTTCAGTGCGCGTCCTTTCTGTAAACGTACTGAGTTGCAGAGGTGAGAGTGTTCACAGAGATGTAAGACGCTGCAAATGAGTGTGGATAGGGAAAGTACCCCCCCCAAAGAAAAACAAAACAAGAACAACCCCCCCCCCTGACCCGGAAACATGCACGGAAAGGCGGCCGTATACTGCGTACGAGGCGGTAAAAAACTTCCAGAAATGTTTACGTGTGTATCACGGGAACTGCTGACGTATCATGTGAATTGGGAATTAACGCTCGGTTGAAGAATTCCCGCCATAAGATTCCATGAAGCTGTTCTTTTTCATTATTAAAAAAAATCCTCTTTGTAATTGATCTAGCCTGTGTAGACTCACAATAATGCAGTTGCAACATTTGAAACGATTAGGTAGCAGTACCGCGGGGCAAAACAACGAAGGTATTTTGAGAATACAATCATGTACACATATTTGTTAGTGTGTATGCAATGCGCACCGAACTCGATTATACATGTACAATGCTGCCATCCACAGTTTTGTCCAAACGTTTATAATTATGTCTGTGACCAAACAACCTCGTCCCCGTGGGTGCAATCTGTGCCATGTTGGTCCCCACCACACCCTCAGTTTAGTGTGAGATTTAAATATCTCTTCAGTTGGAATATTGGGACTGAAGTCGATGTTTTTAACGCGCGACCCAGCTTCACGCGTGTGTGAAATGCGGGAGAATACTTGGGAACGATCTTGTACTGGTAGTTTTCGAAATACGCGCGCGATTCACTTTGGTCGAGTTCGGGCGGCCTGTTCTGGACACGAGTTTCGTGTTCTTGAGCTCGAACGGCGGGAACATGACCCAAAAACACTATTCTCGGAACAGGTTCACACACCACCTCCTCGTCAGGATTTACACGAACACACGGAAAAACTGTTCTACATGTTCTCTTTCAATTTCTTTTCAATCTTTAGTCGGTTGACCAATAAATTTTTGAGAAATTCTCATCCAAAGCAGACCACCCTTAAAATGAAGGAAATTATTTCACTGCCCGTGAAAGTAGCCATTTTAATAATGCATCCCTCTGCAAAATGGCTCAAATAGTGCTACTTTCGGACCCGATTGCATCCAAATTGCTCAGAATTGGAAGCCCGGAGTCCGGCCCAGAGGTCCAGTCTCATATTTCTTCAATTCCTCAGTTCCATGGCTCTCAGGACCCTCTAATATAGAATATTTTGAGTGTATAACTTTTATTTATGAGCTCGGCGGATATATTTCTGACCTAAATACAAGGGTGCACCCTTTGGACACCGCGCATCGTTTGTGCACAAACAATGGTGGCGCCTCAATAGGGTTATGTATAATGCTGTATGCCGTGCATTTCTAGTCAAAACTGATTTGGGACAAAACCTTCTTCTCACGGGACGGTGGTTAAGCCCTCTGTTCTCCTCTCTCTCGAAAAAAAAAGCCAAAATAAGCAAACATGCCAAAAATGTAAAGAAGATCGTTTCCAGAATTAACTGACAGTTTTCTCGAAATCGATAATGTTAACCTGTTTTGTGTGGGCCCCTATGTGCGTATGTTTGTTTATCAATTCATTTTTTCACAACTGTTGTCAACGATCTTGCTTGAGCAATATTTTCTCTTTGGCCGCAGCGTGTCCAGCTTGTGGTGTGCGTGTGAGTTTGTTTCTGCATTCAATTGGGGACCCTGAACAACAGAGGACAATAAGGTCCTCGATTGACAGAGGGTCCCCGATTGACAACTGTGTACAGAACATATGGGTGGTCTTCTAAAAAAGTTAAAGTACAAACAAAAGAGGAACTATAGGGGGTCCCCAGGTGCAGGCAAATACACACTTGTGTGTGTGTGTGGGGAGGGGCAAATGCAAAAGCGAATGCATCTTCGGGCTCATTGAATATGATGTTGTAGAGGGAACAATCCGTCACACATCTGACGAACCGGCTAATCGACCGTTCTGTTGATTTTCAGATTTTATCTCACGAACTAACGAATAGGTTTGACAGCGGTATCCAAAAAAGTATTGCTCACAGAGCCAAAAGAAAAATTAGAAAGTGATTGCAAAGATCAATTTCGTATCTTTTATACACAGATATCAAAACAGGGTTGAATTAAACCCAACCCTTACTCTTGGGTCCAGACATCCTTGTTTTTTTTTCTGGTGTTGTTTTCTTGGACATTTGGTGCTAATATTTGCTAACTAAAATACTGAACACCTTCTTTCTAGGCTCACCCGTTCTTTGTAGACAGTAAAAAAAAATTAAAATCCATAAAACTTTCTGTCGAAGGGGGCCAGCACTGAAAATTTTCATCAATAAAAATGAAAGTCTTAACTTTAATTTTACACGCTCGTAAAAAAAATTGTACTGAAATTCATTTATATATTGAATTAGTTTTATTGAAAAACCGACACGTGACAAACAGAAGTGTGAGAATTGTTTCTGTGAGCACAAAGTGAGCGCAGCTTTAACCGAACAACCAAAGTAACTTACTGCCGTTTTTACCACAGACATTTATTACCAGTACCGCTTCTTAATCAGATTTAAGAACTTGAGTTCACAACGTGACTAAAGATTTACATACAAGAAACTGCTTTCCGGCATGAACAAGTCAGTTTTAACTGAAAGCAAATAATATGATTCTGTAGACAAAGTTTCTTTCATTGCGTTTTCTTTGAATGTCTTTGTTTGTAAACTTCATTCAACAGAAAAGTCAGCTCTCTGCTTTTCACTTTGGTTGCTCTTCCATCAATCTCTGCCCTAAAGAAGAATCCTGTCACTCACATCACGTCGTCTGTCACACGATTTGGGTTCGATGCGCCTGCAGATCGGAAAAACACAAATCGGGGGAAACAAAGGACAAATGAATCACTCCGTTTTTAAAACCAATTTTGTCAAAAAGTAATATTTCAGACTGTCCTAAGTAGGATATAGTGAAGTATCATACACAAAGTTTGATTGGCAAGATAGGCTGTCGCAAATCAATCATCATCAAGTACAAGAAACTTTTTGAAACTAAAAAAGTACGACTCACATTTCAAAAGCTGTTCCGGCCTTCTTCCAAACTCGACGCCGGTCTCTAGTAGTTCGCTGCTGCGCACACCTCAACCATTATTCTTTCCAAATTTATTCATTCCAGGAGTAGAATTCAGTTTCTTCGAAATCTGATGACGATTGAATTACAATAATCTCAACCAGTTTTTGACATCTCCGTTTAATAGTGCACGCAACAAAGTTCGGCACGCTCCTTATTTGCGCTCCTAAAAACGCGCATACGCGGGACGCGTTTTAGACGCAATGTCCTATCCAGTCTTTATAATGGAGGTCATTGTTTTACACACATGATTGAGCGCGTGACGTGTTCGCATCCTGATTAGCCATTCAGCGCCATTTCCAGAAGCTACATGACCAGAAGGATTAGCGAAGGTACGTGCACGCAGCCCCTGGAGTCGAGGTTGGGCTTCGAGGTTGATGACCAAAGGAAGGTCATTGCCATGTCTAAAGATCGTATAGCGCCGAAGGCGCAAAATGGATAACTCTGTCCAAAGGGTATTATTACCATGGGTGCCATTTGAGCAAGCGATTCGCCTGCGCAGTTTACGGTAATGCTTAGGCGCAGGCTCACAAGGTATACTTGCCTGCTGCGGCGCCTGCGCCTTTGCATTAATGTGCATTGCGCAGGCGTATCGCTTGCTCAGATGGCGCCCATGCAATCACAACGTTTTACGTGTATTCACTGTGAAGTTCGCCATCTTGCGCAGCTTCTCGGCGCTATACAATCTTTAGCCATGTCTGTGGTCTTTGCTTTTGCAAAAATACGCCCCCTCTTGTTCTCGCTCGGAGAGGAGTAAAGGATGCTGTGGTTATCTAAACATGCAACCGTGTGCCGTGTCACCGCAGTAATGGCTCTCATGCGATTAGTCTGTAAAATACACAGCCTGGCCACGCATGTGAAATGAAAAAAGAAAATACTTGAGAAAAAGTGTTCACTCCGACTTTTATTTCAATTTCTCAGGTGATAAGACAAACAAGAAGGGCACAAAATGTTACAGCAATAGAGAAAGCAGCCTATTAAGTTGAAGGCTAAGAGGCCCGAGAATGGAGTAGTTTGTGAACAACTGAGTAGACCCTGGTTTTGTTTACAAACACTGATTGCCACCTTGTATGGGAGACTGATTGGAAAAGTTTTCCTTCAACATTTCGCACATTCTGCTTCCGCAGTGTTAAAATTGGAGCATTGTAACTTAGTAGTTAGAATTATTCATTTGTAGTGTTTCAATATTTGCTTATGATTTTTGCAACTCTTTGCGAGTTTTTGGTGCTGTTGTTTGAACTCATGGCTAGTCATAACTTCAAATCAAATGTAAGGTCTGTTAGGAGGTAAAACGATGAAGAAAACTACAGTTACTGAAAGGATGAGCTAGCACGCCCTCTGTTGATACTAAGGCTGGAAACAAACCGGTTTCAAGTTTCAAAGTCAGTAATTAATAATGCTATACAAGTTACACCCAGGAAATACATAAGATTAGCTGCCATATCATTGCATAATGATTCATTTAATTCATGTGGGGATCGTAGCCTTAGGACAAAAAAGGGACCCGACTGCCTGATTAGGAAACTGTAAACGTTTTTTTCCTTTGTTGTCTAACTGCACGGCACTTGCTGTACCAGCCATTGCACATCTTGGACATCGGTTTGCCGATGCTAAAAGATGACTTCGATGATTTGTGCAAAGCTACAGGATGGTTTGCCGTAGCATTCAGAAATTTTATTGGATAGAGAAACAAATGCTACGCGTAGACAAAGGGTACAGGCTTCGTTTTTGCAAGTAGCATTTTCTGTTAATATGATTAAACGATTTATCCAATCCAAAAATGAGCGGGGGTGGGTTAATGGTTGCATTATCATTAATAATTTATCCGATAAATTGCAAATGAGCAACAAATGAGCGATAGTGCTCGTTATCATGATTAATCTTTATTGCCCTCGTACATGCTCACCCATCGGTGACGAGTTTGCTATTGTCTTCTCAGATTAATGAAGCCAGCTGGCTGCCTGCCACTGTACTTTTCATAGCGATCTCAGGCCTGACTCATTACAAGGCTTCTGGAGATGAAACAAGCTCACTGAAGTCCTATTTTCAGTGTAATTTTAACCTTTCCAGAACCTGATCGAGAATAATCAAGGATCTGGGCGGGCCGGTACCGTTGTGAGAGTCAGTCAAAAGATGGAGACACAGTCTGCTCAAATCCAATCACAATTTCTCAACTACATTTAACCAATTCCTAGACGCTCTAAATTTGTGCTTGAACAAAAAAAGCAAACGGGAATAAAACCCTTGATTAGCCTGGTTCAGAACCGTGCTCCTGTCTAAAGCCGAACCGACAGACCTGCAAAAACAGCTTTATATCAGCGACATTCAAAATTATATCCGCTGAAGAATGAAACCCTTCAACGGATGCTTTATTTCAGTCACGGGCAAGGAAATTAAGGCTATATATACGTTACATTTCTGGGCGACTAGAAATTTTCAGCGCTTTCCACTTTGAGCCCGGGGTCACCATACAATTCACTCACAATGGCCTTAAGAGTGGGGAGAGCACCGTCTTAGGTATGGACCAATTTACCTTATAGAGACATGCTTTAAAAAAAAAAAACAATTGTTGTGCAATCGCTCACTTTAATCCGTCGTTTTTTTTCATTTTCTGATCGATTAGTGTAACCCAGAACAAAACAGAGCATTACTTTGGAAAATGACAGGGGTCCTACACTGATTTCAGGTCCCACGTGTCTACTATGCGTTCGAGTAGCTTACATAAGCCGCCTCGGGTTCAACTTCCGCTCCAAAGCCTTGATTGTTTTACACACAGCTCACACGGCTTGCCCGTGGAAGCAACTTGAACGCTCGTACCACACAGCTTTAGCGATTTGGCTACAATGTGCATGTGCTGAGAATCTTGGGCTGCATTTGAGTGTGTTACTTGATTGTGTCCCGGTGGGTAACCGTCGATCAGACCTGGTAGCATACTCGTGCATCACGTGGTGATTTCAAGATGGCAGACTGGTAAACGTTTACTTTTGGTGCGATCTGAGTAATCCACACGCATTCTCCTGCATCATGAAAGTTGAGTTCGTAACACGCGAATACAGCCCGGAGTAGACAATGACCATTCTCATCAAATTGCTGCATAATGCACATGTATGCACATGTCGTCGTCTGGGAAACGGGCTCTTGACTGCATAAAGACGGTCGTGATGAATATATCGCCACTAGCTTACAGTTTCAGCACAGTAGTCACGGTATAAATGTACATGTATTTGTCATGGCAATGACCGTAACAACAAAGGTTCTCAACACAGGTCTACATAAATGAACTAGGACTAATTTCGTAGACAATTATCAGACCAACCACTGTTTATACTCTTCTCATACCAAATAAAAAACTTTGGCAATAAACAATGAGCAAAGGTGACAAAGCGACACGACAAAACTAGGAAATCATTGTCCCTTTATTTAAATCAGCCTATTTCAATATCCGACACCGAAAGAAAAAACAAAGAACATGGAAACTCTTTCAGGTGACTTGAACATTTCTACAAGGTTGGATGAACACTTTTGTACACGGAGCCTTGTCCTAGGATTGAACTGGTTGAATTTCATTGTCACTCGCTCCAACAATGCTGCAGAAGTGAAACAAGAAAGAAAGTACAGGCGTTTCACTTTTATCCCATTTTCTTTTACAAGACTGGTTACAAAAGAAAAGAAAAGTTGTGATCGACAAAAGTCAACAAGATGTCACCAAAATGGTCCCTTGATCGCTATTCTTCTCAATTGACACGTAAAGATACAATTCTTTGACGTAGTTCCCCCACCGACCAAGAAACGTACGAGAGTAAATTAACTCACAGGCAAGGGCGAAGGGGGAAGAGGAGGGAGAGAAGGGGGCCACTGGCCCCCCAAATAGGAGCCAAAGTTCTTTCTTTGAAACTTAATGAGAGAAAGGCAATTTTCTATCCATATTATTTTCTTCCCTTCCTACAGCGTGTAAAAAGCACCAGCATGTAGTTTCAGCCCTCAGAGAGGCCCAAAAAACAAGTTTGTCCCCGAAAATGTGGTTCTGGGTCCGCTCTTGAGCACTCGGAAGTATTTATGCAGTTTTCAACTTAGTGTCTGGATCAGGTGGAAAATCTGCTTGGACTAAGTGCTTTTCTTAATGTGACATGTTTTTTTTTAGACTCCTTATTTTTCATCGTTATGAACATGGGCGTGAAGAATGGTTCAAAGCATGACGACATTTCCTGCTGGTGGGGGAAGAGTTAGGAAACGAACGAATAAAGGGTTCGGAAGTTTTCAAAATCGGGGGGAACAGCGTCCGGTTTGGCCACGTGACAATTGTGCATGGTTACCCCTAGCAAAAGATTCCGTGATACAGTCGGAATATTTTGACCTACGAACTGGGCAAAGACGGCAAACATCCGCGATGAACAACGCGTGCAACATGCTAGTGAGTGTGGTGCCACTGCAGGTTTTTCTTATTGAAGTTACCAAAGGTTAGGATTTTATCATGCGTTCATTGTTTGTTTGTTTTTTTCCAGTAACGTTTCGTCAACTGTTAGGCAAGTTGTTATTGAGCATAGACTATACAGCCTTCAAACGTTGGTCGTATAAAAAGACGATTTAAACATGATCACTTGACTGTATTACAAAATAAGTAGCAACACGTATTGTTCTGTGCGAAATACTGTCTTTTTAAATGTGTCAATATAGGAGTTTTCGCTGTAAAAACGAGAGAGTATCTATGTTCAAGCGAACATATTTGTTAAGAGCTACGCTGCGCTATGTGTTCCGTAAACTGCAATTGATGCTTAGATTCAAGGCACCAAACTTGTTTCTCATGGATGGTGGATGAAATGAATCCTAGGCATGATAACCCCAGGAACTTTTCCGAAAAAGGTGTCTTTTTCAAGTTGAAATGTGTTTCGTCTTGAAAAGGTTAGTCAATCTGCCAGCACACCAATTTCATTTGTTAGAAACGCCTTCACTCTATTCCTCTTTCAGCCAACATCAGCCATATGTGCGTGCTGGTTGTTACTCGCCTTTAATTTCTTTGGGAGATGCTTTTCATTCCCATTGATTTCCTATTGATTTCCACACCATTTTTGATTCTAGTAGTCCGTCCTCGGCTGCGTATAGGTCTAAATATTTCACACGTGCTGTTTGACACGCCGAATATCTAATAACTCACGAGGACCGGGTTTGTCTTTGGTCTTGCCTCGGCCAGGTGAACCACATTGGAGCCAGGATACCCGCGGTAATTTCATTATTTTCCCCGTTCGTTCCACTCATTAAAAGGGAAGTGAGAATGGCAACAATAAAACATTATATACAGTCATGGTCAAAAAGAGGGAAAGGCGTGACGGCGAGAATAGGTTGAATGAGCATTTTCTTTCTGAACAACTCTTATTCAGCCTTTTCAAGATGGATTATTATTATTTTCTAATTATTCCTTTTCTATTTATTTATTTTCTTTTATTTATTCAGCCTGCTGAATTTGCCATCGGCAGATGAATATGTACACTACTCAAAAGAGTTAAAGACCATTTTTTCCTAACTTGTAATGTTTTTTCAAGCTATAAGTGGGGTCTAATTCTTCCAATTTTTTTATCTAGATAGTGTTCTTACTGGAATAAAAACTTTTTAAAATGTTCAATAGTGCAAGAGACATTCAGCATATATATATCTCATATAAAAAGTATAAACAAAAGAAAAAGTGGTCCTTAACATGGTTTTTAGTAGTGCCGAAGAGTTCCCCAATAACGCGGCGCACTTCGACGTTCACCCGTCTTTCAATATACAGTGCATGCCAAACCTCAATGTTGAAAAACGTCAAACCCATTTAGTTAATTAAAACACTGGCGCTATTAAATTCTTGATGCAGGCTTCAATGGTGAAGCTTTGTGGACAATATCAAGGACAGGAAATTTTGTCCGAAAGTCAGAAACGGCGGCGTCCGAATATTGGGCAAGAATTCGGCTAAGTGTCCCCTTTTTTAGCGCACTTTCCACATTCCACATAAACAGTTAAGAAGTTCTTTAAATTTGATCACGATTACCTTCACTCATGTACCAAATTACAAGTGTGTAAGAAAATCGGTTTCGTTTTAAGTTGAATTGATTCAGGAGCTGCAACAATAAGCAACAGAATGAGTTATTAAAATAAAAGTTTCAAACAATTCGACACAGTCATTTTGGTGAGAGAAAGTTTGTAACACTTTTTGAACTCATTTTTAATGAAAAATTCTTAAATGGCGAATAGAAACTGGTATGCTGGTTTCCGTTAAAGGCTCGTCTCCAATTGGTACCTCCTTTGTTGGTAAGAAATTGTTAAAAATTTTAAACCTGTTCGATCTTTCTATCTTGCCAGCAATCAAATACTAATCGAAATGGATCATTCGATACCCACTGGCATCATAATTGCACCAAATATACATAGTGCATAATGTACACATAATGATATCTAAAGGTTGACCGGTCAATATAACCCACCTGCTGGGTCAATATAACGCAGCTGCTGGCCAAGTGAATCACCACTTGGGCTGGTTGTAGACCAGTCCCACTTGGCTGTATTTGCAGGTGGCGTCGTACTGCCGGCCGTCGGCCACACAGAAGGTGTATATGGGGCAGCGGCATCTGAAAGTCCTCTTCTCCGCTTGTTTGCAAACCTGATCCTTGCCGCAGAGCTGCGACAGAGCAGAAAATGAGAACAGACAACCGTGAAAACTGAGAGAGATGGGGTAAAAATGGAGTATACCTCTCGTTTTGGTTTTGATACTTGGGGCATGTATGCATGATTTGATGGGGAGCGTCAGGAAATTTATAAGAAAGAGAATTCTACCATGGCAGTGTACTTACACGACAAGCAAAGTTGTTGACAGAAAAACTATGCCGGATAAACTGTCCGATTCTTTCATTATACACGAGATGGGAAACTAAACCAATTAGGCGGAAAGTTTGTTATTGCTCAACAGTTTGGTAAGGTACATTGTCTTCTTTTGCGTCCAACGGTCACATTTGGCCACCGTATTCATAATTAGATTTCTGAGATCAAAGGCATGGTAGATATTGTAACATTTTGATAATTCGGTTCCGTTTAACTTTGCTCTGATACGATTCCCTCTAACACCAGCCCATTAACAAATTATTTGTTACCGGCAAAATCCTTCGGTTCTCTGAAAGAAAAAAGTGATTGACTATATTTAGTCCGATCAGCTGGTTCAGGTTCGTTGCCAGCCGTTTTTGTTTTCAAAACAGCCATGCCAAACCCAATGGATTGCTGAACGATATGCAGGGGGCGTTTGCAAGAGCCGCCTTTTCTTCGCAACGCACGAGTGACCAGGAAACGCTTAATATTGTTATCACTGCGTGAGAGATCAACGACGGCAGTTTTGGAGTCGGCCGCCCTTTACGCTATCCTAGCAGCGAGAAATCGAGAGGTTTCTAATTTGCAGCATTAGCACGTGCCGTTCAATCGGCTGGGGAAAGTTAATTGTGGAACTGAGTTCATGTCTTACCTGAAAGCAGAGACATAAAAATGCTAATATCATGAACAAAAAGGGCAACTAAAGTATGGATCTACAAGGAGGATGACCAGGGGCAGCCATCTTGCTTTTCCACCATTAAAGCAATGCAACCAAACTGAGGCCCAACGGGAACGTATATAGTATGTTCCCTTTTATCAATATGTGAAGTTGTATACAGTCGAACCTCATTAATAGAGGGGTCCCAATACGACGCTTTTAGCGTACTTCCGCGTTTGAAAACGAGGCTGTGTGTATCAGCTTCAGTTCTTGATACGATCAGACGAGACACAAAATACATAACGGTATGTTAAATTCAGACTTTTCAGGCTGCACATTTTTGTGGAAGAGTCTTTCAGGATGACTCCTAAAACCAAAGGAAAAAAATAACGGCAATTTACGGCGAACTAACGTACCTGTGATGGTTGTGTATCTGCATGTGCAGTGGGCGTGGTTTAAACCAGAACCGGATGTAGTGTATCGACTCCGCGGGCGCGCGCGATGAAGTTCCACACAAAGAGCCTCGGTTTCGATGCAGATATCCGCAGACGGCGCTAGTGTGAAATCCGACTATAAGAGGTCCTTCGGACCTGGCAAATTACCTTTTTATAACAGAAATCTTGTATTGTCAGGAATGAAAAAAAATGAAAAAAAAAAAAGATTGGGACCCGAAATTTTCCTTGTTATGAGCAGAATCTTACATTAACAGTGCACTTATTAACGAGGATCGACTGTAGTGCCGATGATTCTATGGGGAACAAGACAAACATGGCTGCATCAGGAAAAAGGTCTATAACCAACAAACGGCCAAATAACGTCACGTACAACGACCCGACGGAAACACAGACGTCAGTGAGAAGAACTTGGGAGTTGACGATTTCAAGAACGAAAAGAACATCAATCTGTAGTGTATCTATCTGTTTTCGCACACGGTCCCTTTTTGTCGAATAAAAATACACCACATGCCAATTATAGAAGCATGCTATAACAAGAACATGATTCTTAGAACTTGTTTACAAGTGAGCTGCATATTCGCCAAATCCTTTGACCTGGTAAAGGGCTTAACGTCGCATTAGAGATACATCGCTCCCGGGATGACAGATGTCCAGGATATGTCCTTTTCCGGACACAGCACCGGTCCGTACAGGGCTCTTCAATTTGGTTGCAGGGTGTCCATCTACGGGATTGATCAACCTCCAGGGAAGTAGTCGGGGATAAAAGAGAAGGCAGCGGCACGGCAGCGGTGCTGTATACTGAGCACGTCTCCGGGCTTGTCATTATTGAACACACAGTTTGTCCCTGTACACCGCCCTCGCTTGTGGCGTGGTCCCCGCGCTCATCTCACCGGCTGTCGCGTAATTCATTCACCGTGAAATTATTATCCTTCACCCGAGGTGCCGCTGCCCAAATTCCAACTTCGACATCCGGATTTTTGTGTAAATCTTCACCCGGTGGAAGGTTTCACTTCTTTTTTATAGGAGGCCCGTCTTTGACAACAAATATAGAAACCGTGAGTTCATTTCACATTCATTGTAGGGGAAAGGGTCGGGGATAAAATGTCTTCATCTTAAGGAAAACTTCAATTTCAGATGCCGCGGTCGCACGTAACCAGTCTACTATTGTTTGCGTCGATTTGAGCATGTGCTCATTAGCTGAAGCGTGACGTAAGCAATAGCCGACTGGTTATGTATACAGTGACGTCACTCGCACACTTGTGTGTTTAAAAGGCATATTAGCGCGAGGACCAGCGCTTGAACCAGCACACGCGCGTACTCCGTTCGTTTGCTCTACACTGCCTGGTTTAAAATGATGTCACACTTCGGTATTAAGTGTGACGTCATTCTGAACTAGGGAGTGCAGTTCAAACGAATGGAGTACGAGCGTGTGTCGGTTCACACGCTGGTTCTCGCGCTAATGCCTTTTACACACATAAGTGTGCACGTGACGAATTCACTTCGATATTCCATAGCTAGAAGTGTCAGGCCTAATCCAACCTCGTTCCCATGGGTACAATCCTGCCACCCCAGGTTGATTCCCAAAATGCCTCGCGCGATCTTTTGTGGAGGAACGTGCACGCAGCCCATCGAGTCGAGGTTGGGCCTATTCTTACACATCACGTAAATTTTGGCCCAGAACATGGTGATATGGTGACATGCTCCATGACGTACACGTGCCTAACCTCTGGCGCGGTCCAGTGTCCAGTCTTCTACGCACATGAAGCATTTTAGATCTGCGTCACGTCTCAATGTGCTTGTGCACGTTTCAGACGTGTGAGCTTCTCTACTTACGATCTCTGTAGCTGCATGGGCCCAATGTGTATGCTATGCCGCCACAAAGCGTATCAAAGTCTCCAGTCGCACTATCATCGGTGGTAACCATTCGAAAACTCGCTGTCCAAATCGTACCTTACGGCCCACACAGTTGCAAGAGTTTGCCAGTACTGAGGCATGGTCAATAGTACAGTATGTATGCCAGTATTGGCACATCTCCGTTTGTTTCGCATGGATCTGCAGCCGATTTCACAAAACCTGGCATAACTTTGAACCATGCGTAAGCCTTGCACCTCGAATTTATGCTGTAGCTGCGCAGTATACTTACGTTCGATCTCACGAAAACTTGCCTAGCTACCCCACGTTTTAATAGTAAATTTCTTGGACGAGGACAAAAAGGGCTTTTTGATGGGTGTTTCTTTCAAATACAACAACAATCATCAAAGAGTCGTTGAATTATTATATCCGCCGGCCATTTTAAAAGGTTTTTGTCTGTTTTTCGTCGGAACAAGTCAGAAAATCTCGCAGATCCTTCATAGCCATACACGTGGCTGATGCCATTTACACCTTATTGTTGAAATCATTGATCTCCATTATAAAGACTGGATAGGACATCGTGCATTGTTTGTGGACAAAATGCGAGGCCGAAAAATGGTGGCACCTCATTAGGGTAATGTGATGCTGTATGAAGTACATTTCTAGTCGAAATTGATTATGGAAAGAACCCTTATCTCATGGGACGGTGGCTAAGCCCTCGGCTTCCCTTCCGAAAACAAGCCAAAAATAAACAGAAAATGCAAGAATATCATTTTCAGAATTAACTGACCATTTTCTTATAAATGAATATCACGTCTTGGCGTTCCACAAGTTGATATCTGGTACTAATTATAAACCCAAAATACAAAGTAAACGCAAAAACTTATACCAGTCAGATCCTTAGTGGCGCTGTGGTTTATTTTATTGTTAAATACAACTCATCGCACTTCAAATATGCAAATTACGCGAGATATCATCACGAGCCGCGAGCTGGACCAAGAGCTGGCCCCAAAACTTGGTCAGACGGAAACATGTGACTGAGGTGTTATTAGGTAAACTCCTAATCACATTTTACAATGAATTTATTGCCAAGATTAACCATAACAACGTCAATGGGTATGTAATAGGGTACATCGGCTTCACAGGCTGCCAATGCAAAATACGACTTGTGACAACACAGGTAGGCCTGCTGAGGGCTGTACTGGGTTCGCCCACCATATGAATCGAGTCCATAATATTCTTGACAATAGCATGGAGTATTACATTATTAAACCGATGAGCAGTCTACTCGTTCGTGGGCGCATGGACTTACGATTGCGTTTATGGTTGATTATGCACGCTCTTTTCCAAAGGAGGTAATGTTGCGAATGCGGCCTCGCTACACCGCAATTTTGTTAAATTAAGGGGGTTATTATTACGATTCGGCTCGAAGTATCTAATGATTGGTAGGCGCCAAGAACTAGGAGTAGTCTGGTTCCCTTCCCTTACACTCTCGAGAAAATGAAAGTCAAGGAGGCAGTGGTATGACAGTTCTAATGTGAATGTGTTCGAATGTGATTTTGGTTATGCTTTCCAGTGCAGGTACAGGACGTTTCAACTGAATTGTGGTTGGACGTCACTTCAACTAACCTTCGACAGATTGCTGTTGTAGAAACAATGTTATGTGCCACTGGGTCGTGTTCTAGCGTGTGGAATATGTGAAGATACTATATTTCGTCGGTAAAGCTATGAAATTTTATATTTAATTCAATCACGCGTAACGCCAGAAAAAATTCAGTGCGACGCGAAATGCCCAGTTTCAATTCATTACCTGACAAGTAATGTGATATCCTATGTAGCATTAGCTTTTCATTAGCA